GCGGCCAGTTCCTCAATAACATCAGTTGCGTACCCCGGGCGTGCGATCTTTGTTAACTCGCGCACATCCTCGGCGTAATCACGTAGATCTTCGCCAGGTTGGCGACGGCGCGCCTCTAAGGCCGATTTTGCTTCCTCCTCGTCACGCGTGCCAAAACGCTGATCGAGTCGGCGCATCAGCTCCTCTAGCTGTGTCTGTGCGCTCGCGGGTAACGCTTCTACAAAATCGGCTGCCCGCCCATCAAGATTCATATTAAGTTGACGTACTGCCTGCGCGTCCGTCCATCCATTAATTTCCTTGGCCCCTAAGAGATTGTGGGCGAATGCCTTCCACGAAGGGGCCCCCCGGCCGGTAAATATTAGTCTTATTTTAGCGTGAGGTAACGCGGGGGTCCGTACCGCTTCCGACACCAATTTGTGGGGGCCGTTGGCCCCCGAGGTCCCTCCCGCCTGCATCCCCTATTCGTTTACGTTACCCCACCTCCCTATTACCCGCTACGGTTTCGCCGGCATTCGAACGCGACACCCCTACTATTTACAGCCTCGCGCCGCGCTCCCACGCTGCGAACATACGTGCGCACATTATCATCAATCAAACGCCGTGCTCGCAGTATAGCCCTGTGCGGCACGTTACCAATGCGCATCCGTATCCGACACGTAACGAACGTATGCGCACTCCCACACACACAGCTCTGCACGGCACTCACTCTTGCGCCGCTCTGCACCGCGCTGGCCGCTCACGCTACGATCGCGCACCTGGGGTACGCCGATTTCGCACGACGAGAGCTTACGCATACACCGTACCACACGCGTTCACACTTATAACACGGGATCACACGAGCACACGCAAGCGGGGCACGCGCCGACACAACGACTCAAGTTGCCACCGCCGTGCACGCGAGATAAACCGTACAACAATGCGCAGCCGATTACGCGCTCGAGCCGCGGGGCTGGGGGTCAGGAACTCACCACCGCGCCGCACTTTACGCACGTAACGAGCACACGCAAGCGGGGCACACGCCGACACAACGACTCAAGTTGCCGCCGCCGTGCGCGCGAGATAAACCGTACAACAATGCGCAGCCGATTACGCGCTCGAGCACACGCAAGCTCGCACAAAGCTAACAGCTTCACTGCGCACCGCGGTTTCGCACACGCGAGCGGGGTGCACGCCGACACGACGACTCGTCCCCTCCCGCACTCGCGCGTGCACGTCAACACAAGTATCGTGCAAGGACGATTCTCCTCTCACACGGCTGCGTAGGCACGCCAACACACAAAAGTGCGCTCCCCGGGCATTAACACACACACCTCCGTACCCGCACCATCGTACAGAGACCACGGCCTTTACGCATACAACGACCACACACCAGCGAATGCAGTGCACGCTAATACCACGTTCAAAAACACCCAACAACACGGTTTTGTTACTACGCTCGAGATTTTATTAACCCTTGTTAACTCACCGAGCCACCCGTGTGTGTGTACGAGCCAGCAATGCGCTTCCAACCCACTCTCTAGTGGCGTGCAGCCCTATTCTATGCTGCGCTCTCTGTTACACCGCTTTCCTACTCGTCCTTACCCCGAACTAACCTTCTCCTACGGATCCTACTCTCCGCTCTGAGGTGTTGTAAGGCGCGTAATACGATACCGTCTGTAGTCCTAGGTGACCTTGCGGCGCTCAGGTCGTCCTGCAGACGATCCTGCGGCTCGCCCGATGACTCCCTCGTCGTTGACCCCGTGTCACTACTCCAGAAGAAGAGACTTCCCTACTGCCCCTGCGTTTTCTTTTAAACTATTCACATCAAAGGCTAGGCGCCCCCGTCCCGACCGCCTTGGTCTCTCGACCAATCCTGAGCCTAGGATTTCCCGCCCTTTTGCGATCCCGCCGGCCTTTAACCTTTTGGCTAAGCAGCAGCCCCAGGTCCTGATCCTAGCTATCCGCCTTGCTGGCCCGTGTTTGTGTTTGTATGCGTTTCTAACTGCGGGGCTCTCTGAGCTCGCCGTGGTCGTGCGATCTCAAATCCGCCCACGGCGCCGCAGTGTTACTTAGCCTGGGAAGGGTCCTGTCCAATTCCCTGGCCCTGAGAAACCGTGGAGTAACCCCCCGAGGGGGCCCTCGGGTGAAAACTCAGGGTAGGTGACCCGACCACGAGGCCCTACGTGGGTGCGGGTGCGTGCTTATGTGGGGGGGGTGATGGGGGGCAGTGCAGTGGTGGAAGCCGGGCGGCTCCCTGGCTCGGCAGAGCGGCCCCGTCGTTGTGGCACCACACCGTCACAGCCCCCCAGGGCTAACCGATGCGGACGTGGATGTAAGCACCCTTCCGCGTGCGGGCACAACCACCCCCGGTGTGTTTGTTCGCCCTCCCGTAACACCCCTACAGTAGTGTACTCGACTGGTTCATAATAAACAAACAAACAAACAAGACGACAACAGCAATGCTGCCATGGAGGCGTGGCTAGCACACTGGACTTGTCGTCGAGAGATTACCGGTTGAATGTAATCTATCTCTGGTCCACACGGAGTATAATTGGGTTCAGAGTTTAGCTAAATTGTGGCTATTCCCACCTCTTTCAAGGTGTCTGGCTATCGTGGAAGAGTAGACCAAAGGACGTCTCGTGCTACCTCCAGTCTAGTCGGTCTTTCTGCCAAGATTGGCGTGAAAAAGCAATTGACGGGCTTCTTCTAATGGACACTTAAAACAAACTAAAATCTGTTTTCTCGGTGCACGATGTACACGATGTTCTGTTGCTGCCCACGTGTAGCCCAACAAGCTGGGTCTGGGGATCTCAGTCGGCTGTGCAGAGCTGGATGAGATGTGAAGTTATGCCAAAGAGAATTCCCATCGCTCATTGACGGACATTCTGCACACTCACCATCTTGTGTATTTGAGACAAAATGCAAATCAATTTATAACATTTTTGACATGCGTTTTTCTGGATTTTGTTGTTGTTATTCTGTCTCTCACTGTTCAAATAAACCCACCATTAAAATTATAGACTTATCATTTCTTTGTCAGTGGGCAAACGTACAAAATCAGCAGGGGATCAAATACTTGTTTCCCTCACTGTAGATGGAAAGTGTGTGGTGCTACCCTATGCTAGTGGAATGTTTTTGTTTATTAGTAAATGCCTGTTGTGTGTGCAGTTTGTAGTGAAACTTTTGAGTGACATCGCCATATAATTCTATTGTGCAGAGGCCAGCCAGTGACATTCTTCTTAGACAACCCAAGTCTTTTTATTGTTCATGTTGGGACTGCATGTCGAATTCAATGCCTCGAATTCAGCGCTCCGAATTCAATGCCCCGAATGTATTGCCTGCATTTGCCCGCAGTGGTGAATTTTGAAAGCTGAAGGGGAGAGAGAGACGCCCCAGCATGCAGCAGCCCAACACGGACACTCGTGCTTGGGGTCACGAGCAGCTGCGACAAAGCAGTCGTGCTCAATAATAAATGAAAATTGTGTTTTTATTCATCAACAGAAATGTGACTGCGTGTGTACCCGACGGCAGTACAAGCCGTGCTATTGCATCTTCAGTAATGTTTTGTTGATTTTCAATTTGTTGAGTGTGCAGTTATTCAATGACATTAAAACATTTAATAGATATTCAGTACTTACAGTTATTTTACTTAAAGCCACAGGACCTGTTTTATAACTGAACTTGTGAAATTGCATTTGCAATTTAGATTTTTGCTTTCTCATCTGCTACCCAAAATCGACTTGTATTTTTCAAAAGACATGTTTAACACGTGTAAGGCATTGGCGACCAATATTATTCATACTCAACGTTTTTGGGTGAGATCGCGTTATTTATAAATGTGTCGTAACCCTCCACCACCCGACACGGCCAATCAAACGAGATCCAACTAATACTTTGGAACATAAAACTACTGCAATCATTGCAAATTCATCAATCCCGAAGAATGAGCAATTCCTAATTAAGCCAAGGACTTCAAAACCACCGAGACTGTATGGGCTACCACACACACAGACCTCACATCCGTTCGCTCGCTCGCCCACACACACAGACCTCACATCCGTTCGCTGTTTATATTATCTATATGCACGACAGACAACCAATCCCTGGTGGGCAGTGTGGAACATATTGTCCCTACTACCTGCACCACGTGTTGTGTTGTACCAGCTGAAGCGCGCCAAGCTGCAGAGCAGAAGTGACGTGGCCACAAATGGAAGCGGGATTCCTTGTAGAAGGTCTCACTTTGGTGTTTGAACATCTTGACGCAGCTGTTTTGTTGCCAGAAAAACGGGGAAAACCCTCTCATCATATGTTGGTACTGACAAAGGAGGTCCCACGGTAAGGCTGTGTGGTAGCTCTTGGGGGCTTCTTCAAAATCAAAGCACTTTTTAAAACACATCTAAAAAGTGATTTTAAACTTGCTTTGAATTAGGATTTAAACCACGTGGTTTTTTTTAATTAGTTCTTTGCTCAAAATTTGTTACAATGTGATTTTTATTTTGCCTACAATTAAACTTGTATTGTTCATGCCTGCAAAGCATGTTTTTGCACGAATAGTGCTATAGAAATGAAGCCACCTGGCCAGTCACAAATGATAGCCCACACCAAGTGGCAGATCGTCATCATCACTCGCGTGGGATAATCCGAACCGCGTGGTGATGTCGATTCCACGCGACCACGGGGAGGGAGTGAACACGCCAACTCCAAATATACAGCAGCAGCAGGCGTCAGGGTTGGGTACGAACCCACGACCTCCTGCGTACCAGGCGAGTGAGTAAACATCTCCACGGGGAGAGTGGTGGTGGGTGGAGGGGGGAAAGTATTTACTTTCTGTCCAGAGTATCCCAGAACAAATCCAGAGTGTGGTGGTAAATAATGACAGACCCCACTTGTATATCCGGCAAACAGCAGCAACAATCATCAACATCATCACCACCACCACCACCATCAAATCATTTTCACCAGGCATTTTCCACAAGCGCAAACAAAAACAATCGTCTTAGCCCAACGTTTTACATTTTATTCGTTTTTTTTCCCGTTTTTTCCCACCAAACGCAAACCTCCGCGCTCACCGATTCGCTCGCTCGCTCGCGTTCGAGAAATACACAACAACCACCTCCGCAGCACCTCCCCCCTCCCTCCCAAGATTGCAGTGGGCGGCTTTGGAGTCGTTGCGCACCGCGTCTCCTTCACCGGACATGGTGGCTGGTGGTTGTCGTTCTCTCGTCACCGTCGGAGGAGGGAGGGGAGAGGCAGGGAGGAGGAATGGGGCGGGTGGGAGGGGAAATGAAATTCACATGAGGCGGCACTTCCTCCTCTTCGATTTCTTTCTTTTCTTGCACACGTCTTTGCTCACGCGGCGCTCCTTGTACTTGCGGATCTCGCGCACCAGGGTGCAGAAGGCATCTTCCACGCCCTGCAGGACAGACGCACGCAGTGGCCGCCACCGGAGGGAGTTTGTTAGAGGGAGGGCCACGTGCTCTCGTACGGGACCGACTCGGCACGTGCAGAGACGCGCAGACACGCAGACCCAACACGGGTAGTCTCACACAGGCAGACACGCAGACCCAACACGGGTAGCCTCACACACAGGCGGACACGCAGACCCAACACGGGTAGTCTCACACACAGGCAGACACGCAGACCCAACACGGGTAGCCTCACACACAGGCGGACACGCAGACCCAACACGGGTAGTCTCACACAGGCAGACACGCAGACCCAACACGGGTAGCCTCACACACAGGCGGACACGCAGACCCAACACGGGTAGTCTCACACACAGGCAGACACGCAGACCCAACACGGGTAGCCTCACACACAGGCGGACACGCAGACCCAACACGGATAGCCTCACACAGGCGGACACGCAGACCCAACACGGGTAGCCTCACATACAGGCAGACACGCAGACCCAACACGGGTAGCCTCACACACAGGCGGACACGCAGACCCAACACGGGTAGCCTCACACACAGGCGGACACTCAGACCCAACACGGGTAGCCTCACACACAGGCGGACACGCAGATCCAACACGGGTAGCCTCACACACAGGCAGACACGCAGACCCAACACGGGTAGCCTCACACACAGGCGGACACGCAGACCCAACACGGGTAGCCACACACACAGGCGGACACGCAAACCCAACACGGGTAGCCTCACACACAGGCGGACACTCAGACCCAACACAGGGTAGCCTCACACACAGGCGGACACGCAGACCCAACACGGGTAGCCTCACACACAGGCAGACACGCAGACCCAACACGGGTAGCCTCACACACAGGCGGACACGCAGACCCAACACGGGTAGCCACACACACAGGCGGACACGCAGACCCAACACGCGTAGTCTCACACAGGCGGACACGCAGACCCAACACGGGTAGCCTCACATACAGGCAGACACGCAGACCCAACACGGGTAGCCTCACACACAGGCGGACACGCAGACTCAACACGGGTAGCCTCACACACAGGCGGACACGCAGACCCAACACGGGTAGTCACACACACAGGCGGACACGCAGACCCAACACGGGTAGCCTCACACACAGGCGGACACGCAGACCCAACACGGGTAGCCTCACACACAGGCGGACACGCAGACCCAACACGGGTAGTCTCACACACAGGCAGACACGCAGACCCAACACGGGTAGTCTCACACACAGGCGGACACGCAGACCCAACACGGGTAGTCTCACACACAGGCGGACACGCAGACCCAACACGGGTAGCCTCACACACAGACGGACACGCAGACCCAACACGGGTAGCCTCACACACAGACGGACACGCAGACCCAACACGGGTAGCCTCACACGTGGCCACGTGGCCTCCCAGGCACGTGGAAACTCCCTGGACCGCCGGGTTCACGGCGCAGCGCGCCACATTCCCACCGGCCGCCACTTATCCCCCCTGGCTACTCACCAACCCCCCCAGCTGCCCCCCCCTCTCTCCCCCGGCGTCCGCGTGCCTGCCGGGTCTTGGCGGAGGTCTCCACGAAGGGGATGCCGTAGCCTTGCGCCAGCTCCTGCGCCTGCTTCGTGTCCACGGTCCGCGTGGGCACGCCGCACTTGTTCCCCACCAGCACCATCGGCACGTCCTCCGAGCCCTTGACGCGCTGGATCTGTTCCCTGCGCACGGAAGCCACGGCAGAGGTCGGGGTCTCAGTCCCCCTCCCCTGTAAATCATCCCTCCGATTCCCAAACCTTTCCCATGTTGTAGTTCTCCCTCCAATCTCCTCCTTCAAAGATCCCCCCGCCTCTGAGCCAGTGCTTCTTAACCTTGACCGCAGCCTTGCCATCCACTTTGTTTCTCAATTGTAAAAGAAACACAGTGACGTAGAGTGTTGTTGACGAAACAAAGTTGCGTACTCACGTTGCCCCATGGCTTCATTTGTTTCCATTTACCTTCTGAATAAAATCTGGCCGCATCTCACAAGCCCTGGGGGTGGCGTGCACCCCAGATTACACAAGCACATCAACAACAAAAAGCCACGACCGTCGTGACCGCTGACGATGCCTGTTGCTGCTGTATATTTGGAGTCTGCACGTCTCTCTCTCTCCCTCCCAACCAGCCCGACCGCTACGCCCCCCGTGTCTCTCTCTCCGTCTCCCTCTCAACCAGCCCCACCGCTACGCCCCCCGTGTCTCTCTCTCTGTCTCCCTCTCAACCAGCCCCACCGCTACGCCCCCCGTGTCTCTCTCTCTGTCTCCCTCTCAACCAGCCCCACCGCTACGCCCCCCGTGTCTCTCTCTCTGTCTCCCTCCCAACCAGCCCCACCGCTACGCCCCCCGTGTCTCTCTCTCCGTCTCCCTCTCAACCAGCCCCACCGCTACGCCCCCCGTGTCTCTCTCTCTGTCTCCCTCTCAACCAGCCCCACCGTTACGCCCCCCGTGTCTCTCTCTCTGTCTCCCTCCCAACCAGCCCCACCGCTACGCCCCCCGTGTCTCTCTCTCCGTCTCCCTCTCAACCAGCCCCACCGCTACGCCCCCCGTGTCTCTCTCTCTGTCTCCCTCTCAACCAGCCCCACCGCTACGCCCCCCGTGTCTCTCTCTCTGTCTCCCTCTCAACCAGCCCCACCGCTACGCCCCCCGTGTCTCTCTCTCTGTCTCCCTCTCAACCGTGGTCGCGTGGATTTGGCTGCTGCTAGTAGATTTCCACACGATGATAAGCCACTTCGAGTCGTGGTTATCATTTGTGATCGCTTTTGAAAAAGAACTACACGGCTCAGTGCGGCCTTACCCGGCAAGATAACAACAATTCGTGTTCACTGCAATTGACTTGCTACAGTAGCTGCAGTCAGCCACCCACCAACCCACCTGTACCGGGGGATGTCCTCGAAGGACTTGGAGTTGTTGACGGCGAAGACGCACAGGAAGCCCTCGCCCTCGTGCATGAACTGCTCCAGCATGTCGCTGTACTCTTGCTTCCCGGCCGTGTCCAGGATGTCCAGCAGACAGGTCTCGCCATCGACCACCACCCGCTGCTTCGGGTACGAGTCCTGCGCCGAGGCACGCACGGAGAATGCCCCCACCCCCCCATCCCCAACACCGGGAATGATTAGCCTCGCAGATGCGTCGCGCGACGTGGACGTGCCCTCGCAGCGTCGTCGCACGCCGGCGGCGTCGGGATGCTGCTGGATGTGAACCTGGGGGCGCATCTCGCCACCCCCCCCCCCCCCCAAGGTCAAATCGTCGAAAACACAAATTGAGCCACGAGGCAACGGGAGTACGCAACTTTGTTTCACCAACACCCTCTAGAGTCTAGAGGTCGTTGTCAACATCGCAGCTTTCTTTGTTTCACCAACACCCTCTAGAGTCTAGAAGTCGTTGTCAACATCGCAGCTTTCTTTACGACTGACAACCAAGGGGGTGGCGAGTCCGCAGTGAAGGTTAAGAACCCAACGCTACTCCACGTGCCTCTTGGGTCTCTTCGGCCCGCGTTGCGCGCCGCACGTGTTTGATCGCGGAGCGTGCTCGACCCCCTGGATTATACATTTATTTATTATCATCTGGGGGGGGGGGGGTTCTTTAAGAACGCAGCGACAACCGCGTCACAGGAGAACTGACTGCTGCAGACACAGACGGCAGCAGCAGCGGCACCTGTGCAGGGCGGCACGACACACGAGGTGCGCGAGTGGGTGGGCGAGTGGGTGGGCGAGTGGATGGGCGAGTGGGTGGGCGAGTGGGTGGGCGAGTGGGTGGGCGAGTGGGTGGGCGAGTGGGTGGGCGAGTGGGTGGGCGAGTGGGTGGGCGAGTGGGTGCGCGAGTGGGTGGGCGAGTGGGTGGGCGAGTGGGTGCGCGAGTGGGTGGGCGAGTGGGTGGGCGAGTGGGTGGGTGAGTAGGTGGGTGGGTGAGTAGGTGGGTGGGTGAGCAGATGAGTAGGCGAGTGGGTGGGCAAGTGGATGGGCGAGTAGGTGGGTGGGCGAGTAGGTGGGTGGGCGAGTAGGTGGGTGGGCGAGTAGGTGGGTGGGCGAGTAGGTGGGTGGGCGAGTAGGTGGGTGGGCGAGTAGGTGGGTGGGCGAGTGGGTAACTAGGCGAGTAGGTGGGTGGGTGAGCAGATGAGTAGGCGAGTGGGTGGGCGAGTAGGTGGGTGGGTGAGGAGGTAGATGGGTGGGTGAGTAGGCGGTTGGGTGAGCAGGTCGACGAGAGAGCGGGTGAGCAGGTGGGTGGATGGGTGGGTGAGTGGGTTATTGGGTGGGTGAGGTGGGTGAGCAGGTGGGTGGATGGGTGGGTGAGTTATTGGGTGGGTTATTGGGTGGGTGAGGTGGGTGAGCAGGTGGGTGGATGGGTGGGTGAGTTATTGGGTGCGTGGGTGGGTTATTGGGTGGGTGAGGTGGGTGAGCAGGTGGGTGGATGGGTGGGTGAGTTATTGGGTGGGTTATTGGGTGGGTGAGGTGGGTGAGCAGGTGGGTGGGTGGGTGAGTGGGTTATTGGGTGGGTGGGTGAGTTATTGGGTGGGTGAGGTGGGCGAGCGGGTGAGCAGGTGGGTGGATGGTTGGGTGGGTTATTGGGTGGGTGAGGTGGTCGAGCAGGTGGGTGGGTGGGTGAGTGGGTTATTGGGTGGATGGGTGGGTTATTGGGTGGGTGAGGTGGGCGAGCGGGTGAGCAGGTGGGTGGATGGGTGGGTTATTGGGTGGGTGAGGTGGGCGAGCGGGTGAGCAGGTGGGTGGATGGGTGGGTGGGTTATTGGGTGGGTGAGGTGGTCGAGCAGGTGGGTGGATGGGCCACTGCGGTGCTAAACACGACGCGGCCGCCGGCGCTCACCCCGATGGTGGGGTCGTAGTCGTCCACAAAGTGGTTGTGGGCGAGCCGGATGGTGAGGGCGCTCTTGCCAACGCCTTCAGCGCCCACCACCGCCAGCTTGTACTCCGTCATGGCGCCCGCTTGCTGCGACGACGACAACAACAACACACGCAATGACCCCCCCCCCCCACCAAATCCGCACTCAGACACACACACAGACACACACACGCACAGACACTCACAGACACACACACGCACAGACACACACACAGACACACACACACACACAGACACACACACAGACACACACACACAGACACACACACACAGACACACACGCATACACGCACAGACACACACACAGAGACACACACACGCACACACACGCACACACACACACACACAGACACACACACAGACACACACACAGACACACACACACGCACACACACGCACAGACACACACAGACACACACACAGACACACAGACACACACACGCACAGACACACACACACGCACACACACACACGCACACACACAGACACACACACAGACACACAGACACACACACAGACACACACACAGACACACACACACACAGACACACACGCACACACACGCACAGACACACACGCACACACACAGACACACACACAGACACACAGACACACACAGACACACACACACGCACACACACAGACACACACGCACACACACAGACACACACACAGACACACAGACACGCATACACACACGCACACACACAGACACACACGCGCGTGTGTGTCTGTGCGTCTGTGCGTGTGTGTATGTGTGTGTATGTGTGTGCGTGTAGGTGTGTGTAGGTGTGTGTGGTGTGTGTGTGGTGGTGTGTGGTGGTGTGTGGTGTTGTGTGTGGTGGGAGTGTGTGTGGTGGTGTGTGTGGTGGTGGTGGTGTGTGTGGTGGTAGTGTGTGTGTGGTGGTGTGTGTGGTGGTGTGTGTGGTGGTGGTGGTGTGTGTGGTGTGTGTGGTGGTGTGTGGTGGTGTGTGGTGTTGTGTGTGGTGGGAGTGTGTGTGGTGGTGGTGGTGTGTGTGGTGGTGTGTGTGGTGGTGGTGGTGTGTGTGGTGGTAGTGTGTGTGTGGTGGTGTGTGTGGTGGTGTGTGTGGTGGTGGTGGTGTGTGTGGTGTGTGTGGTGGTGTGTGGTGTTGTGTGTGGTGGGAGTGTGTGTGGTGGTGGTGGTGTGTGTGGTGGTGTGTGTGGTGGTGGTGGTGGTGGTGTGTGTGGTGTGTGTGTGTGGGCCGGGGCGAGCCTCTACACCATCTCACCTGCTGCTGCTGCTGTTCGCGCCGTCGGTCGGAGACTGAAATGGCGGCGGCTGAGAAGCTTTCAACCTTCACGGAGAGACGCGGGTGGGGGCGGGTGGAGGGGGGCGGGGCGGGTGGGGGCGGGTGGAGGGGGGGGTGGAGGGGGGCGGGGTAGAGAGGGTGGAGGGGGAGGGGCGGGGCGGGTGGAGGGGGGTGCAATGGGGCGGGTGGAGGGGCGGGGCGGGTGGAGGGTGGAGGGGGGAGGGTGGAGGGGCGGGGCGGGTGGAGGGGGGTGGGGAGGGTGCAAGAGGGTGGAGGGGGGCGGGGCTGGTGGAGGGGGGGGTGCAAGGGAGGGGGGCGAGGCTGCGTGCTAAAGACACAATAACACGACACAGATAATTCAGCTCATTGTGAGTTTTTAATTCACTTTACCGCCTCAACATTTTGTCGGAATCGTTTTGTTCAAACGAATTTTTTTTGGTATTTTAGTAAAAAAAAGGGCACCTGGTTGTGGGTGAAGTGGTGTTTGTGGGGGAAGAAAACTCAGAAATAGCGAAGTCAGCAGTTTAATATGCCACTGAATACTAACAGTGGCCTGCCACATCAACTTACACTGACCCCACTCAGTCAACAACTCACCCACCCAGCCAGCCACTCACTCACTCAGTTAGCCACTTGCTCACCCTACGACACTCATCCACCAACACACCCATTCACCCACTTGCTCACCCACCCACCCACTCACCCACTCACCTACTCACTCACTCACTCACCCACTCACCCACTCACTCACTCACCCACTCACCCACTCACTCACTCACCCACTCACCCACCCACTTACTCACCCACTCACCCACCCACTCACTCACCCACTCACTCACCCATAAACTCACGAACAAAAAACACACCCACACAATTCATTGCTCACCCAACCCCTCACCCACTTACTCAATCACCCACCCACCAACTCACTTCACCCACCCAACACTCACTCACCGAGCCACTCAGTCTCTCAACTACACACCAACCCTGCTGCTCACTCAACCTCCCTCCCACCCGTGGCCTGCTAGCCACGCCCCATTCTAACCCCTCCCACCCGTGGCCTGCTAGCCACGCCCCATTCTAACCCCTCCCACCCGTGGCCTGCTAGCCACGCCCCATTCTAACCCCTCCCACCCGTGGCCTGCTAGCCACGCCCCCTTCTAACCCCTCCCACCCGTGGCCTGCTAGCCACGCCCCATTCTAACCCCTCCCACCCGTGGCCTGCTAGCCACGCCCCCATCTAATCCCTCCCACCCGTGGCCTGCTAGCCACGCCCCCATCTAATCCCTCCCACCCGTGGCCTGCTAGCCACGCCCCTATCTAACCCCTCCCACCCGTGGCCTGCTAGCCACGCCCCCATCTAACCCTCCCACCCGTGGCCTGCTAGCCACGCCCCCATCTAACCCCTCCCACCCGTGGCCTGCTAGCCACGCCCCCATCTAACCCCTCCCACCCGTGGCCTGCTAGCCACGCCCCCATCTAACCCCTCCCACCCGTGGCCTGCTAGCCACGCCCCATTCTAACCCCTCCCACCCGTGGCCTGCTAGCCACGCCCCCTTCTAACCCCTCCCACCCGTGGCCTGCTAGCCACGCCCCATTCTAACCCCTCCCACCCGTGGCCTGCTAGCCACGCCCCCATCTAATCCCTCCCACCCGTGGCCTGCTAGCCACGCCCCCATCTAATCCCTCCCACCCGTGGCCTGCTAGCCACGCCCCTATCTAACCCCTCCCACCCGTGGCCTGCTAGCCACGCCCCCATCTAACCCCTCCCACCCGTGGCCTGCTAGCCACGCCCCCATCTAACCCCTCCCACCCGTGGCCTGCTAGCCACGCCCCCATCTAACCCCTCCCACCCGTGGCCTGCTAGCCACGCCCCCATCTAACCCCTCCCACCCGTGGCCTGCTAGCCACGCCCCCATCTAACCCCTCCCACCCGTGGCCTGCTAGCCACGCCCCCATCTAATCCCTCCCACCCGTGGCCTGCTAGCCACGCCCCGTGACCCCTCCCCCAGACACACGCCATCACCAGCCCCCACCTCCCTCCCCCCAAGCGGCGTGGCGCTATAAAGATGGAGGCGCGGCACGTGGCGCTCCCTGCGGGAAGTCTCGAGCAGCAGCAGCAGCAGCGGGCGACGTCGCGAGCAGCGGAGACAAACCAACTCCGCGTGGCGCAGCGGGCGGCTGCTGCTGCCGCCTCGAGACACTCCCGGGCGAGAGGAGCGCACAGCGGCAAGGAGAATAGTTCTAGTGAGATGAAGATGATGATGGTGGTGGTGAAGCCTAGGGGATTGTTGTTGTTGCTGCTGCCTGGCGGCCTCTGTGTCGCCTGCTTCCTCGGTCTCGCCGCCTGCGCCGGTGCAGAGAACGGCGCAGCAGCTGCAGCAGGAGCAGCAGCAGGAGGAGGCGATGCTGAGAGTGTGGCCGCCTTTGTCTCTCTCAACCACAACAACCACAACAACCACGACCACAACGACAACGACGACCACGTGCGCTTCATGCGGGCGCTCTTCCGGCGGGAGGTGGACGCGCACGGGAGGCCGCGGGGCGGTCCCAGCGCCCTCCCCGGCAACACGGCGAGACTCGTGACGCCCGCACGCAACAGCCCAGCCCTGGGGGACATCGCGGGCACAGGTGGGTGGGAGGGTGGGAGGGTGAGAGTGGGTGGGAGGGTGAGTGGGAGGGTGAGTGGGTTCGATTCCTGTTCCTGGCCAACCCGAGTCACGATAATTATCTGAGCCGGACTGGATCCTCCCCTGGGTCGACTCAGCCTCAAAAGTGCGACGTGTTTTAACTTCGCCACTGGGGAGACAAAGACGGCCTCGCGCGACTCCCCGCCCCGCTGTACAACCCCGTGCGATAGTTCCACCCCTTGACCCTATGCCCTGTTGACCCCTTGACCTGTTGACCCCTTGACCCGGGTGCGTAGCCGAGGTGGTGACCTTTGACCTGCGTGTGGTGCCGCGCGGGGAGCTGCTGCAGCGCGCGGTCCTCGTCTACCCTGGGGACGGCCACGCCCCCTGCTCCCTGCGGGTGACCACGTGACACCACGTGACCCCCCCCCCCCATTACCCCCACCCACTACACCTGCTACCCCGTAACTAACACGTCACCACGTGACACCACGTGTTAACCCCGCTGCTAACACAGTACCCCACGTGTTACCCCGCGTGTTACCCCACGTGTTACCTTGTTAATAACACAGTACCCCACGTGTTACCTTGTTACTAACACAGTACCCCCCGTGTTACCTTGTTACTAGCACAGTACCCCACGTGTTACCTTGTTACTTGCACAGTACCCCACGTGTCACCGCTGCGTGATTGGTGGCTGTCAGAGAGAGAAGATTGGTGCTTTTTACCCCGTTATCGCACTTTACCACCGTAGCAACTTCCTTACCCTGTGCTAGAAGACGCGGATGAAGAGGTGGAAGCAGCATTGAAGCAGATGGGATCAGGGGAGGGGCAAGCTGCCTTCACTGGAATGGGCCAATCGTTATCCAGCATCTGTGACGCGCATCTGAGGGGGGGGGGGGGGTTCTTTACCGATGAACATCTGTGACCCGCATCTGAGAGGGGGGTGGGGGGGGTTCTTTACCGATGAACATCTGTGACCGTCCACCAGCGGTGATTGTGACGGGGGGTGAACCGGGCCGCTGACGAGACGGTCCCACTTGGACCACCGCCGCCCTTCCGTGTTCTCAGGTGTTGCCGGGGAGTTCCGTCGGAGCGGACCACGGGGCCTCGGAGCCCGCGGACGACCCAGAGCCCAGCGGTGACCCCAACCTGGAGCCAAACTCAAACCCCGAGACGGTGCCAAGCCCCGGCCAGAGCCCTCAACCGACACCCAAACCTGAGCTGGACTCCGACCCAGACCTTGCGCAGAGCCTCAACGGGGACCCCGTCTCGGACGACCCCCGAGCCGGAGGCTCCCGTGGCGACGGCGACGACGACGACGAGGGTGTCGCTGGGCGGCGAGTGGTTCCAGGTGGACGTCACGGGGCCCGTGTCGCGCCTCTTGGGCCACCCTGCCGCCTCTCTGTCTCCCGCCTCCTCCTCTCCATCCTCCTCCTCCTCTCCGTCTCCCTCCTCCTCCTCCTCTTCGTCTCCCTCCTCCTCCTCCTCCTTTTCGTCTCCCTCCTACTCCTCCTCCTCTCCGTCTCCCTCCTACTCCTCCTCCTCCTCTCCGTCTCCCTCCTACTCCTCCTCCTCCTCTCCGTCTCCCTCCTCCTCCTCGCCGCTGGTGCTGCGCGTGGCCTGGAGCTGCGTCCCTCGTCGCGCCGCCGTGACGCCGTTTCTCCTCCTCTACTCGGACGACGTCCTGCCGGCGGTAACGACGACGACGGCCCCCGCCGCCGCCGCCTTGAAGCGGAGCTCCGGAAGCGGGCCCTGGGGGTGCGACGAGGGCCTCCGGTGGGCCCCGTGCCCCTCCGGGAGAGCGAGGAGGAGGCGCCGCCGCAGGGTGGCGCGCTCGCCGCCCAAGGGGCTCGACCCGCACGAGCCCCCAAATCGGCGTCAATCCGCCTCCTCGGCATTGTCCCCCCACCAGCAGCTCCTGCGGAACTTCAAGCGGCTGCAGCGGCAGCAGCTGCGGCGGCGGCAGTTGCGGCAGCGGCAGGAGCAGGAGCGGCAGCAGGAGCAGCAGCAGGAGCAGCAGCAGGAGCAGCCGTCAGCGCGCCACTACTTGGGCGCCTACCCCAACGGCTGCCGCCTGCGCAACCTGACGATCAACTTCGCCGACCTGGGCTGGGAGCGGTGGGTGTTTGAGCCGCGAAGCTACGAGGCGGGCGACTGCCGCGGGGGCTGTCCCCGCGGCCTCCTCCTGCAAGCCCCGGGAGAGCCCAACCACGCGGCGGTGCGCGCCACCGTGGAGGAGGTCCGCCCGGAGCTGGGCGTGGGGCGGGCCGCCTGCGTGCCCTCTCGCTACGGCGCCATCGGCATGCTCGTGTGGGAGCCCCACGGCGGCATCGTCTACAAGCTGTACATGGGCATGGTCGCGCTCGCATGCACGTGCCGGTGAAAGGGGGCGGTGGGCGGGGGTGCGGGGGGGTCACGCGGTGACGGGGCGATGG